AATTATAATATTAATACATATTTTATAATATTAAACATATATTTATCATCTAATTTATATAAAATATATTTCAAAACAATTTTAAATAATAATTTCATTTCATTATTCTTATCTTTTTTATTTCTTTTCTATTTTATTTAAATGAAAATAAAATATAAAAATAATAAATAAAAGAATAAAAATAATAATAAATAAAATGATATTAATAATTCAAATCAAAATAACAATTGAATAAATTCAATATTTCTCATAAATATCAATAATAAATTAATATATTATTTTCATTATAATTAATTATATATTTTATTCAATATTTTATCATTAATTACAAATAACAAAACAAAATAATATGAATATAGAAACAATATAAATAAAATAAATAACAGAATAAATAATCAAAAAAGAAATAAAGAAAGAAGTAAAATAAAAATAATAGAAAACAAGAATATAAAGAAAAACAAAAAATAAAAAGAATAAATAAAATAAAGAATAATAAAATAAAAGAATATAAATAAAGAATAAATAAAATAAATAAGAAATATGATAATAAATAATAAAAATAATGTAAATTCATTATTAAAATTATATTGATAATTTAATTTAAATATTTATTTATTTCTTTTATTATAAAATGATTTTCTTTTTATTAAAAATTCAATCAATTTATTTTCTTGAAACAAATGATTTAACAATATCTCTAACATGTTCTTGTTTACTTTCATCTCCATATTTTATTTCAAATTCTAAATATTTAGTTAAGAATGTTTTCATTGTTTTAGTACTTAATTTTTGTTTAACTATTCTTTCAAATATTCTTCGTATTACTCCTACTTCTCCTACTTCTTTCTCCATATCAATATAAATATTCCAAACATCATGTCGTTTTGGATTATTTGTTAAAATGTCTTCAAACATTGATCTTCCTTTATCAATGATCCATATTTATATTCTAATCGTGCAATATGAATTTCTAAACTTATCATTTTCTTTTTATCTAATGTTGTTTTTGCTTTACTTATTGTATTCTTATTTTCTTCTTCTCTATTATTTCTCATTATGAAATTACAATATTTCTTATATACTTTACAACTTCCTTTAACTTTCTTAAATATTATTCTGTTTATTTTCTCTTCTTCTTCTTTCTTTTCTTTATAAATGTGAATCATATGAAGCATAATCTTCTTCATATCACATACTTCTAATGCTTCATTATATACTTTCTTTAAACTCTTTTCATCTCCATGATTAGCTTCTAATTTCATTAATGCTTTCTAAATGTTTAATTTCTCTTCTAATTTCATAAATTTGATAGTTTCTATTGTTGTTTTTCATACTTTTCTTGCTTCATCTATTTCTTTTCTTTGAATGAAACATTGTATTAATTTTATCAATTCTATTGAATTATCTGGTTCTTTTTCAACTCCTTTTTGACATTCATCTATTTCTAATTTAATTTCTTCATTTTCTTCTTTAATCTCTTATTTTACATTAAAAACATTTGTTTAATTGATTAATTATTTCATTTGATTTCATCTTAGTTCAATATTGTATTTTCTTTCTATTTTATTCTGTTTTACTTCTTCTCTCATTCTTTTATTCTTTCTCATCTCTTCTTCATTTCTTCTCATTACAAATGATAATTTGTTAATTGATAATGTACTAATTGATATTAATGATGAACATTGATAAAAATAATCATTT